CTATAATAATGACGTAACTCAAAAAGTAGTTATTTTTTGGTTGCTTGTAGAAAAAGAAATAGATCCCTTGTTGTTTATCAAGGAAAGACAAATGATGGTCGTGAGCGTTATGAGCGTCAAGTGGAACACAGCTCTAATAAAATATGAAAAGCATCATCATTGTTTTTTTTAAATACTTTTAATATCTCGAGTATGCGAATTTTTTCCCATAATCATGATGTACCCCCAAGATAAGTGATATACCATTCGAATCCGCTTGAGTAGCCATTTATAATAATATAATATGTAATTTGCACATCTCAGAACTTTTTCATTTTGGCCATAAAACAGCTCTAGCTCAACATCCTCCTTTAAAAATAATCATAATGTCCTAACGTACTCATATTATAATTAATCAGAAGAAATATTAAATTTGTCAATATAAAGTTTCTTTGTCTCATGCAAAATTTCGCTCATGGAGATTCTAAAGACGATTAGTCATATTGTAAATAGAACTTACACATAGATTTACGTGTCATTGATACATTATGATAATACATACTTCTTTGCCAGTTGTGTCATCTTGTTTAAGTGTGTTTAATAGTAATTTTTATAATTATCAATTAAATGTAAACTAGAAATTAATTTTCTCTTCTTCAAAAAATAAAGAAAAAATGATTGGAGAAATTTACAAGTAAAGTTTATAAGTAATCGTGTATCATATTTAAATAATTTTTCGGGAAAATTTGTTGAATATATTTAACATATTATTAATATACATTCAAGTATATTTATATTTTAAGAATATCCACACACACACACATATTTCTATTACTCTCGTGTCAATAAATATATAATAATATCTACGCCCTTTATCCTCTTCCGGCTATCTCATATCAACCAAGCTTCTGTGAATAAATTATTCGACAGAAAATTAAGAATTCAAGATGCTCGGAGGTCATGTCTGCACTTGTATAGTGGAATGATGCTACTCTACGTATGTATATTCTAAAAAAAGATGATTAATTGCTTGGTAATATTGTTTCATAAAAAAAAGGGAAAGAAAGAAAAAAGAAAAATATATAGATAATTTTTCCTGCTAAAAACGTATTGAGGTGTATTTTATTTACTATTTTTAATTTTTTTCAAATAAATTTGGGTATGTTAAGTTAGCACCCCAACTATAGTACTCAGGAGTTCTGATTAGAGTTCCCACTTCCTTTTGACAAGACGAAGAGTTCCCTATAGTTAATAACAAGAGTTCCGCTCAATAAACATTTTTTTTACATTTTTTAAAAATGGGGTGCTAACTTTTTAACGAAATTCAAGGTCGCATAGTTCTGATCAGCTTAACAGAACTATTTTGTGAATACCTAGAGTTCTTGATACATAAAAAACATTTTTGAAATATAATAAAGTTTAAAAAAAATAATGGAAATCTTTGAAAATTTTTTGAGAGTACCGAGTAGTTCTGAGTAGCGTTTCTTATAGTACTCGATGAGTTCTATCGAAAAGTTCGACGAGTTCTATTTTAGATAACAGAAGTTATTGTCATACTTTATTATTGATACAGTAAATGTATACTCGATACGTATATATTTTTAATATATTACACGAAGCATAATAAAAACGATTTTGTCATAAAAACAAATTTAATTAAAATAAAAATACTTATTTCTTTGTTAGCTTTTATCTTCCTTATCATTTATAATATATTCCAATATAATATTTATAAAGTAATTCGTTTAATTTAATAATTCCATTTTTAATTGAGAAAAACAACTTATACGCACGTAACATAAGTAATCATACTAAAAGTGTAATTTGATAACTATAACAATGAGGAGGGTCTGCTATACGCTTTAGGGTAGGTATTTTACTACGCAGCTCTTCAAACTGTTTTATAGATCATACTATGTAGGTATAGCTACAACAACAAATGTATCCCCCTTTTTTATTATTATAGTTATTACTTTTATCGCTATTACTTTTAGAATGATTACATATGTTACTCGCACATAAGTTACCTTTCTTAATCAAAAATGAAATTATCAGATTAAAGAAATTACTTTAGGTAGTATAACATCTCTTTATAACATAGCGAACTAACTCGGCAAGTTACGGAATTGTCACGTTCGTGTGAGCTAGCAGTAATCAAGACTGAGGGAAATACAGTGGTAGTAGTAATAGCTTCAGTCTGAAACTACCAACTACGTCTCTCTTTGCGTCGCATAATTTCCCAATTTGCAAGAATACATATATTGTGAATATTAAACATGAATTAAATTTATAAAGTTAAATTCACGAAAGCTCCACCCTGCACGGAACAATCGATTACCTTTGACAGATGTCTTAAATCAAGAGGTAAAATTAAATACTCTGAAAAGTTAAAATAGCAATAAATACGTTACTAGAGGGTGATTAAGCGTCACGTTAACTCTGCTTTCGCGAAAATAATTTGTTACATCATTATAAGTAGATTTCTTATAGGAACGATTGCAATATGCTTCTCGTAAACTCAGCATACCGCCGAAATATACGTCGACCCAATTGAAACTGAGCTCTGCGGTTGGCCGATCTGCGCTAATTAATTACTGCGCTGCCGGCAAATTCATTACAACAAACACTGTTCCTAACAATGGTAGCGGCGAATGTTTAGCTACATTATCCTCGCCGTCCGTGTCGCACGGCCGGAGCTGTCGCGAACGGTCATATTGAACCGTATACGTGTAAATTTCACGTGGTCGGCACGTTATGCGTATTTCGCACCTACATATTTTCCATCGAATTTGATAATTACCGTGGACAGAATTGACGCGTCGTGTGACGCCACAAATAATTATTATCATACACAGCGCAGCGTAATGCGACTCGGCACGTTGTTTATACCAAAAGTTTGCTCCTGCATGTAACTGACCGCAATTAATTCTCTCATTGAAAAGCGAAGTTAATCGCGATTATTTACTCCAACATGATCTACATATATTCCAACGTAATCTGAAGCAACACACATATACGAGAATAATACATACGAGAACATAACATTCTGTTTCTTTGTCTCTTTTCAAAGATATAAATAAAAAATCTTTATAAAATATGAATTTTAAATCTACAAGTAGTTTTATTGCGAAAAATAATGCCTTAGCCAGGATTTAAATATAGGTATTCTTACAAAGATGCTTAGTAACATTAAAAATTATCAAACTGCTTGTCAGTTTAATAAGTGATATTACTACTGTGCTTCTGCTCATTACTGTTTCAAGACCGAAAAAGAGTTCGGCGCGCAGTTCACAGAATCAGATATGGATACAAATATTTAAACACTAAAATTTTTGACCGATACAGGAATTTAGAAATATAACAATTTTCTTATTTAATTAGATCTTATTTAATTAAATCTTATTTAATTAGACCTTTTTTTTACAATTTAAACAAGTTAACACTTAACTGAGATTCAACTTATCTCTTTCTAAACCTTGGCTTAAGAGTTAACTATGAATTATGGAACTAGCCCTTAAAATAATTCGTCACTAATTATATACGTAATTATATATAAACTGCGTGTTTCACTTTATAGTTCAAAAATTATTTACATTATATTACATTAACATTACGTAAATACAATTTTTATTTGATCATAGGTATTATATCACTACAACAATAAGAATAATAATGATGATGAATATTCTTACAGTTGTGTTAACGAACATGATAGTTTTATACGGAATACTAAAATAATTAGTAAAATGATATGTTGTTTTGTTATATGTTTAAATATCGATGAATCGAATTTCGAAAATTATTCCCTTGTCACAGTGACGAGAAACGGAAAACACGATGTGAATAAGATAAGTAAAAAATCAAGAGGTTGAAAGATAATGAATGGTTCTCTATAGCGAACTTACACTCTTCGTTAACTTTACGAAAAGTGAGGTAAATTCGCAGAGGCGAAAATGTCGATAGAAATACCCCGGAGATATCGCGGTCCAACTATAGAATGGTTAATTATAACGATAATTAGCGGGCACTTTTGCGATGGTAACTTCCGGCTCTCAGGCGTCGCGTCGATCCTTCACTTTGGATTCCATATCTCAAGCTCGAGTTTGAGAAGTATAAATGGAATATGATTTTGCTCTAATTAGCTATCCCCAGAATTGGGGAAACTTTGTTCTCCATGCAGTGACTTCGACGTGAACTCATACAAAATACTTTTACTGTATATTACGTTGAATTACACTGTGGCGAGAAAGCATTCTTTTTGTCATCGAAATTTGAAAGAACTTCCGCAAAAGGCGGCAAGAGAATTTAGAATTAAAATTATCGTTATTGAGATCTCATAAGAATTATTTCAGAAATATTGCCAAGTTCTATTTCTGAAATTGAGAAGACATAACAAATTTTCATCAACGTTTTGTGTCTCAACAAAAAATAGTAGATGTTTCTTATAGAGCTTTTTATACTGAAAAAGTATCTGTTTCTTATATGTGGACTACGTTTCTTATATGTTTCTTATACGTTCTTAGTTTATTTTACGATGTTGATGTCCTGTAGAACACTGCTGGTGAATTATCTTCTTTTCATTTATAAACTGTAAAATCTGATTTAACCCACCTTATTCACAGTTTACATTATTTTATTATTAGACCTGTTTTCTGTGGCTAAACTAATATTTTAAAACTTAAATTGAGATAGGTATATGTTTGATATTTAACAAAAACAAGAAAGTTCTAGTGCAGAATTCTAATGGTATAAGGAATATAAAAATACATCTGATGATATTTATCGTTGAACTTTTACTCGGAAGAAATAGATTGCCAAATCGAGATACCAAATTATCTGTGAAATACAATACAAGAATAGGATCTTCGTGAACAATTTAGTCCTGATGTTAAAAATTTAGGATCGCTCGTTGCTGCGAAGCGATGGGTTTCTCGAAAGCACTTGTAGCAACGTAACGACGTCGTAGAGGCGTTTAATGAGCCCGCGCCTGACAACGGATTCTCTCTTTTCTGTGATTTCAGCCCTGCGAGAAATCGAGCGACTTTCGCGCGGTACAATGCGCCGCCTTCAACAATGTGCCATACAGCGGGCAACTGCTCAAATGGTATCCCCATTACGACCCGACTAGGCCATGCGCTTTGATCTGCCGCGGTGAGCAGACCCTCGAGAATAGCGTTACACGGTCGCGGCAGGAACTGCCATCGGGCGAGAAGACGGTGCCGCGCGATTCTACGGATAGCCTGCTATTCGACAGCGACGAGACGATAGTGGTACAACTAGCGGATAAGGTGGAGGACGGCACAAAATGTTACATGGAGGGCACGGACGTGTGCATAAGTGGCGAGTGCTTGGTGAGTAAAATTTGTTTACATTACCTAAATCGCTTACTTGCTACAACATAACTAAAAAAATTATCATTTTTGAGTTGTTTGCAGAAAAAGAACGGAAATAAAAGAAAAAAGAAATATAAAAAGAACGTACTTTTATTTCTCTCTCTCTCTACAATCAATTACGTCAAAATTGCACATTAAAATTAAAATTGCAAAATTATGATTCAAACTTATTTTTCGGGAAAATAACTTTGTTTTTGTTGTAACAAATGAACAAAGATTTTTATCGATAAGATCGTGACGCATTTCACAGTTTTTGAGTATGACTGTCAAACAATTGTAACGATGCGTCCCGGAACGCATCGTTCCTGTCCGGAAAACTAGCCGGATGCCACACTTTGGTCCCCGATGTCAGCGATGAAGGCTCGTATATTTTTTTTATACCAAACAAAAATAAATTTCAGGTGACAACCGCCGTTTTCGCCGAAATTCGCCGACCGCGACCGAGCACCACCGATCGACATCTCCCCCACTCGAGTGTCGATCGGTGGGCATTGCCAACCAATACGGAACAAATCGAGTACGAGCAACAATTTTGTAACATATATAAACCCGCGTTTTTTGCAATAGTAAAACCTATTCCGTCCCACTCCTGATCTGGATCCCTTGCTTTACGCGGCATTCTCGTTCGCCTGCTCCGACGAGATTTTCTTTGGGGTAGAACGTTCTCTTCTTTCACACAACATTAAATCAAATGTTAATCCGTAGTTTTCTTGAAATTTTTAGTAAACAAAATACGAGGCAAAATGTTATCAATACATTAATAGTTTGTTAGCGAATTCGAACACAATATTACGGTAAATTGATGTCAACTGCAGCACCCGCATTAAGTTTATACTCGACTAGAAGAGAAACGTCTGTCAACGTAATCCAAACAGCAGATTGCTAACGGAAGTAGATTAGATAGAGCAGAATCTATCACTTTGTAATTATTTAAACGGAACGTTTTAAATCAGGAATCATTTAAATACTTACAAAGAAGGCAGTTTCTTATATAGTCAATTTGCCATAATATTCTGTTAGCAAATTTTTATTTTCGTAAACATTTATCCATTTTGTCGAAATTCAAAAAAAAGAAGTAAATTTTGTGGACAAATTAATAACAATGTACAACACAATTAAAATGTCAGTTATATCATAATTAAGTAACAGTATTTTTCTATATAGTCTAATATCAATTAAAATATTGAAAACATCAAAATGATGAACGGGGATTGAAATCACATACTTATATTATACGTGCACGCGCGCGCGCACACACACATACACCACACACACACACACACACACACACACACACACATCTTTTTGAAATCTTACCCTTTAGTATGGATAGGTGGGTTGAACTGGGACCTTGACGTCATTAATCTGCGCTTATTGTGACACGTACGTCATTGATCCATTGCGTCGCACCGCTTGAATTGAAAACCAACCGTACTCGACTTTTTATTCTAATGCTCTCAAACGTCCATCACAATGCGGTATTATATGGAAAATAGAATATTGCATCCACTTCATAAACGCGGCATTGCATATCAAAATACAAATTAAACATCGTATATTCTTCCAAAAATATTAGTAATTATTATTACTGTTAAAATAATCAAGTAAATAAGACTGTTATTAATAATCATAAAAATTTTTAATAACATTCTTTATCATTTATTATTTATATTTCTTAAAACGATTCAATGTACGTTGAATCTGTTGTGGAAAATCTAAGAATTACATATGAAAAAAACATATATTATACATTTATGTATACGCATGCAAAATGTATAATATTTTTTAATTTTTAATTACCCTTTTTTCTTTTCTACTTTTAAATTTAAATATACTTATTTTATACTAAATATACTTATTTTGTATTATAATTGAGCCTAAAGTGTCTTCTTTTTTGTCCTATTTTTAAATTTCAGTGTTCTACTTTTGTATTACTTTTCAATCAAGAATGTCCTAGTTTATACCTACATCAGATCTGGTCACCCTAGATACACTGAAAAATTATCCATTATTGAACTTTGTGTCTGTGACATCTTTTGTTCATTACAAGTTAAATCATGTATGAAAATTAAATTAAACTTTACCGAGACTAAATTTTACATATAATCAGTAATTTCCATATAATTAATAATTTTTGTTATTATTTTAATTAAAACAATGTAGTTAAACAATTTAACATAATGTATTTTTTATTTAAATTTAGTTTATTGGTTAATTAGTGTATATACGTTAATATGTGAACATTGTTTACTTTGAAACCAAGTTATTTGACCAGCCATAGAAATAGATTAATTGGATATAGCTATTTTTTTAACTTCCTGTTTTGTATTAAAATAATACACATATGAAAGTTTAAAATAATAAAATGTTATTTAAAATTCCTATTCACTCATTACTGCTATTTCAGATTATGACGTCAGAAGTGAGAAAATCTACAATAAAAGTTCTTGCATATTATGTTTGAATAGAAAAATTTGTTTAATAAAATAATATTTTGCAATCGGTAGAATGGACTTAATATAAAATATACTGAAAGTTATCTCTTTGTTTTGGTATTAAATTATATTTATTTTTATATATTAATTTGGCATTTTGTTTTTGGACATGCATAATTCATTTCCAGTTATATGATTATTAATTAATTAACAATATTTATTAATTACCAAAGCGAAAGGAGAGTTTTTGATTCATTTTACGAACGCAGTTTTTCAATTATATTGTTATTTTATTGAAACATTTTTCTATATTAATATATTTTGCAAGAATTTTTATTGCGTATTAACGTATTTTATTGTTTCAGATGTCACAATCTGAGATAGTAATGAGATAGTAATTATATTATATATATATATAGTAAATAAAAGCTTAAATTAAAAAAAGAATTTAAATTTAATCCTTCAATATTTAATAGTACGTAATAACAATTTGCACATGATCAAATATTTAAATTAAACTAAAAATTAGTTTCTATTAATATATGTTTCCATTTATATATAAATTTTTTATATGTACATTATAATTAAAACTTCAATTAAATGTTATTCATGAAAATTTTATCGCTAAAAGTAATCTAATATTTGACTCTCTTAATTTGGATAAGGAGATAATTATCGATTCTTAACCGCAGCATTATCGGAAACCATGGATCTGTCACGTGCAGACCGCAATATATTAGATGCGAGGGGCATTAAGCGATAGGTACAGTGCGCTGCTTGTCAGTCACTATAAATTGTCGGTCGATCAACACGTGAAGGCCTTTACTCATTAATTATTGAAATATAATGTAAGCGATACTTACATTCCATTAATAATATTTAATCATAATTTAACTGCTAATAAGGCACATTGTTACTAGTTTATATTATTTATATTTTTCACGTAAGATAGTTTTTTGTAAGATAGTTTAACTACTAAGAAAATAATCAGTTGTTGAAAATGCATTCAATTTGCAAATGAAAAGTATGAAAGATTAAAGAATCTACTGGAAAGTATTATTATTATTACGTTTTTTATATACAAATATGGAATATTTGGATTGATATCTTAGACATGTATGGGGATGCATCCAAAATGTATAATAATAGTTCGAAGTAATGATATTTAAAATAACATTTTGATTTATTAATCAATTTAACTACTCGTTTGTATTGTTAAATCGATGGATCGCGATTTGCCTAGTAGCTTTGGAATTTACATATTAAATTCACCATTAGTTTGGTCACTGCGTTTTGACCATCGATATAATCCGATCTGTAATTTTGATTGAATAATTACTCAATTAATTAATCAAGAGTCGCGTGTTGAACTGAGCAATATCCCCAAAACGCGTTGCCTGAAACAATAAATCGAAGTACAACCTTTATATGCGCATAAAAGCTATATTTGAAATTAATCATATTAACGTAAATGCAAATTACATTAAATTGTCGACGATATTTAATATGAAAAGTTGATTTTACATTAATCAAAGATCGGAGCAGCTAAAAGCAATAAGCGACAGTATTTTATGTATAAATAATTACACATGTTACACTTCTCTGTACTACTTTCTCGATACCTTTTTTCTTTTATTAGTCAATAAGTAGGATTCAAGAAGAATTTGACAAATTATTAATTAAGTTGATAAAAGCAGCGTTCTTAAATACTTTGACGGAGCTAGCCTTAAGCCCGAGATTAAACTGAAGGCGTTACTTAAGAATTTAACCGCAATTGCCACGTCTCTTGTCGAAACTTCGCAAGATGAAACTTCTGGAGTTAGTAGAGAGAAACTCTGAGAGAGGTCGGAAAGAAGAGATTCGCGCGGATGTTGGCGCGTAGGCGTATGTAGTACCTTAAACGTATTCGCAACTCGTTGCTTCCTGGCGTCGCTACGACGCTCCAGCACGCTCTGTATCATGTTAAGAAAACGCAAACTAACGAAACAGCCAGGTCACTCTACTTCTGCTAATATTTAACATGGGCACGTCGAGGAGCCCGATCTCATCGTCCATTAACTTAATTTGATCACACATATATATATGCAGATAGTATATGTTCGTAAACACGTATATTTCAGAAGCGTAATGTGAGATGATCATTTGGTATTATTGTACAGTAACGCTACGCGGTTTTTACACGTATCAGCTTGTTTTACCCAATAAAGAGAACTATGTACTGGAAAGCATATTTTTTAATAATTATTGCTGGGATACCTTTAATGTCGTGTTCTTAATAACATATACTATAACCAGATATTTAATTCTATGAATGACTTATCTGTTGAGTTAATTAACTGTCAAATTATGATACAGATTAAATTATTATTATACAATATATATATATATATATATATATATATAAATTTAGAGTATACATTGTATTTCACACTTCTCTAAATTCTACTTGCTCAAGAAGTAGACGCTGGCAAATTTAGTGCGCGTCCTCGTCCCAGCATTAAAATCTTAATTCTTTGATCCTAA